TAAATAATCAAACATGGCTGGAAGTACAAACCATATATCAATAGTAACTCTAAATGTTAATGGTTTAAACTCTCCAATAAAGCGACATAGGCAGGTAACATGGATTAAAAAAACAAATCCAACAATAAGCTGCCTCCAGGAGACACATCTGATTGGAAAAGACATACACAGGCTGAAGGTGAAAGGTTGGGAAAAAATATACCATGCACACGGTCCTTGTAAGCAAGGAGGGGTGGCCATTCTCATATCGAATAAAATCGACTTCAAGACTAAGTTAATCAAAAGGGATAAGGAAGGACATTATATACTGTGAAAAGGAACCATTCACCAACAAGAAATAACAATTATCAATATTTATGCACCAAATACGGGTGCTGCAACGTTCATAAAACAAACTCTCCTCAAGTTCAAGAATCAAATAGAACACAACACAATAATTATGGGTGACTTCAACACACTACTCTCTCCATTGGACAGATCCTCCAGACAAAAGCTGAATAAAGAAACTATACAACTCAATATCACAATCAATAACCTAGACTTAACTGACATATATAGAATATATCAACCATCATCAAGTGGATATACTTTTTTCTCAGTAGCACATGGATCCTTCTCAAAAATAGTCCATCTATTATGCCATAGGGCAACCTTCAGTAAATATAAAGGGGTGGAGACAATACCATGCATTTTATCTGATCATAATGGAATGAAACTGGAAATCAATGATAAAAGAAGGAAGGAAAAATCCTACATCACATGGAAAATGAACAATATGTTACTGAATGATCAATGGGTTACAGAAGACATAACGGAGGAAATCAAAAAATTCTTAGAGGTAAATGAAAATACAGACACAACATATCGGAATCTATGGGACACAATGAAAGCAGTTTTAAGAGGGAAATTCACCACCTGGAGGTCATTCCTCAAAAAAAGAAAAATCCAACAAATAAATGAGCTCACACTTCATCTCAAAGCCCTAGAAAAGGAAGAGAAAAACAACAGCAAATGTAGCAAAAGGCAAGAAATAATTAATATCAGAGCGGAAATCAACAAAATTGAACCAAAAGAAACTATTGAAAAAATTGACAAAACTAAAAGTTGGTTCTTCAAAAAAATAAATAAGATCGACAGACCCTTAGCCATGTTAACGAAGAGAAGAAGAGAGAGAACTCAAATTACTAACATACGGGATGAAAAAGGCAACATCACAACAGATACTACAGAAATACAAAAGATAATTAGAAATTATTTTGAAAACCTATTTTCCAATAAAATAGAAGATAGTGAAGACATCGATTAATTTCTTAAGTCATGATTTGCCCAGACTGAGTCAGGAGGATACACACAATTTGAACAGACTAATATCAATGGATGAAATATAAGAAACAATCAAAAGACTACCAACCAAGAAAAGCCCAGGACCAGATGGGTATACAGCGGAGTTTTACAAAACCTTTAAAGAAGATTTAATACCAATACTTTTCAAGTTATTTCAGGAAATAGAAAAAGAGGGAGCTCTTCCAAATTCATTCTATGAGGCCAACATCACCCTGATTCCGAAACCAGACAAAGACACCTCAAAGAAAGAAAATTACAGACCAATATCTCTAATGCACCTAGATGCAAAAATCCTCAATAAAATTCTGGAGAATTGGATACAAAAACACATCAAAAAATTGTGCACCATGATCAAGTAGGATTCATCCCTGGGATGCAAGGATGGTTCAATATATGGAAATCAATAAATGTTATTCACCACATCAATTGACTCAAAGATAAGAACCATATGATCATCCCGATAGATGCAGAAAAAGCATTCGACAAAGTACAGCATTCCTTTATGTTCAAAACATTAGAAAAACTAGGGATAACAGGAACTTACCTCAACATTGTAAAAGCTATCTATGCTAAGCCTCAGGCTAGCATCATTCTGAATGGAGAAAAATTGAAGGCATTCCCTCTAAAATCTGGAACAAGACAGGGATGCCCTCTATCACCACTTCTATTCAATATAGTTCTCGAAACACTGGCCAGAGCAATCAGACAGACGAAAGAGATTAAAGGCATAAAAATAGGAAAAGAAGAACTTAAATTATCACTATTTGTGGAAGACAAGATTCTATACCTAGAAGACCCAAAAGGGTCTACAAAGAAACTACTAGAACTAATAAATGAATTCAGCAAAGTGGTAGGATATAAAATCAACATGAATAAATCAAAGGCATTTCTGTATATCAGCGACAAATCTTCTGAAATGGAAATGAGGAAAAACACCCCATTCACAATATACTCAAAAAAAATAAAATACTTGGGAATCAACCTAACAAAAGAGGTGAAAGATTTATACAATGAAAACTACAGAACCCTAAAGAGAGAAATAGAAGAAGATCTTAGAAGATGGAAAAATATATCCTGTTCATGGATAGGCAGAACTAACATCATCAAAATGGCGATATTACCAAAAGTTCTCTATAGGTTTAATGCAATGCCAATCAAAATCCCAATGGCATTTGTTGTAGAAATAGATAAAGCAATTATGAAATTCATATGGAAAAATAAAAGACCCAGAATAGCAAAAGCAACTCTAAGCAGGAAGTGTGACTCAGGTGGCATAGCGATACCAGATTTCAAACTATACTACAGAGCAATAGTAACAAAAACAGCATGGTACTGGTACCAAAACAGGCGGGTGGACCAATGGTACAGAATAGAAGACACAGAGACTAATCCACAAAGTTACAACTATCTTATATTTGATTAAGGGGCTAAAAGCATGCAATGGAGAAAAGATAGCATCTTCAACAAATGGTGCTGGGAAAACTGGAAATCCATATGCAACAAAATGAAACTGAATCCCCTTCTCTCGCCACATACAAAAGTTAACTCAAAAATGGACCAAGGAGCTTGATATCAAATCAGAGACTCTGCATCTGATAGAAGAAAAAGTTGGCTCTGATCTACAGATTGTGGGGTCGGGCTCCAAATTCCTTAATAGGACACCCATAGCACAAGAGTTAATAACAAGAATCAACAAATGGGACTTACTCAAACTAAAAAGTTTTTTCTCAGCAAGAGAAACAATAAGAGAGGTAAATAGGGAACCTACATCCTGGGAACAAATTTTTACTCCTCACACTTCAGATAGAGCCCTAATATCCAGAGTATACAAAGAACTCAAAAAATTAAACAACAAGAAAACAAATAACCCAATCAAAAATGGGCCAAGGACCTGAACAGACACTTCTCAGAGGAGTACATACAATCAATCAACAAGTACATGAAAAAATGCTCACCATCTCTAGCAGTCAGAGAAATGCAAATCAAAACCACCCTAAGATACCATCTCACTCCAGTAAGATTGGCAGCCATTATGAAGTCAAACAACAAGTGCTGGCGAGGATGTGGGGAAAAGGGTACACTTGTACATTGCTGGTGGGACTGCAAATTGGTGCGGCCAATTTGGAAAGCAGTATGGAGATTCCTGGGAAAGCTAAGAATGGAACCACCATTTGACCCAGCTATTGCCCTTCTCAGACTATTCCCTGAAGACCTTAAAAGAGTGTACTACAGGGATACTGCCACATCGATGTTCATAGCAGCACAATTCCCAATAGCTAGACTGTGGAACCAACCCAGATGCCCTTCAATAGATTAATGGATAAAAAATGTGGCATTTATACACAATGGAGTATTACTCTGCACTAAAAAATGACAAAATCATGGCATTTGCAGGGAAATGGATGGCATTAGAGCAGATTATGCTAAGTGAAGCTAGCCAATCCCTAAAAAACAAATGCCAAATGTCTTCTTTGATATAATGAGAGAAACTAAGAACAGAGCAGGGAGGAAGAGCAGGAGGAAATGATTAACATTAAATAGAGACATGAGGTGGGAGGGAAAGGGAGAGAAAAGGGAAATTTCATGGAAATGGAAAGAGACCCTCATTGTTATACAAAATTACATATAAGAGGTTGTGAGGGGAATGAGAAAAAAACAAGGAGAGACATGAATTACAGTAGATGGGGTAGAGAGAGAAGATGGGAAGGGAGGGGAGAGGGAATAGTAGAGGATAGGAAAGATTGCAGAATACAACAGTTACTAATATGGCATTATGTAAAAATGTGGATGTGTAACCGATGTGATTCTGCAATCTCTATTTGGGGTAAAAATGGGAGTTCATAACCCACTTGAATCTAATGTATGAAATATGATATGTCAAGAGCTTTGTAATGTTTTGAACAACCAATAAAAAAAAATAAAAAAACCCTCAAAATCATAGATGACATGTATTCAGCTCCATGCACCCTGATAAAAATGTGTCAAACGTGAAAAAAAATAGCACTGGACTTAGCTATTTGAATTATGTAGAAGACATTTTTTTCACACATTAAATAAGCTAGTTGTGTAACTCCAAGATTGTTAAGAAAATTTGGAATGAAATCATGGATGAAAATTCACAAAATTACATCATCTGTAAATATTTTACATTTATGATTTTTGAAATGTTTGTCACGTAAAAATGTATAATGTAATATTTCATAGTTTTTTTTTTTGTGTGTGTGTGTGGTGTTGGCAATAGAACTCTGAGTCTCATGCACACCAGGCAAGTGCCCTGCCACTGAGCTACAGCTCCAGTACTTCAAGTTCTTTTAAACCAAGACTTGTTATCCAATGTCCCATTGGTCAAATCTTGCCTGTCACCTATTTCTACAAAAGTAAATAAATGTAAACAATCAAGCTTTATTGGAACACAGCCTCGACTGTTGGTTTACAGAGTCTATGGCTGCTCTCAGGCTACAGAGTGACCCTGGCAGATTAAGGAGAGGGACGAGCTGGCCCACAAAAGCTGAATTGTTTCCTGTTAACCCTGTGCAGGAAAAATGGGTGCCAAATGACCAGGGTCCCCTTCTCCTGGACCCTACTGATCTCTCTGCCAGCTTCCCTGACCCCCGATCACAGGTAATGTCCAACTCAGATTGCACTGCCAGCCCTCAGCAGGTTCCCAGCCCCTATGAGCTGTGAGAAGGGGACACAGGCTGAGGGCACACCTGGTCACTGCGGGAAACTCCATAGTGCAGCTTGTTCGCAAAGTGCTCACAGTTGTTGATGATCAATGAAAAGAGCATGTATTTCCCCACCATTTTCTCTGCCTGATGGACAATTTCGTTGGGTGGCAGTGGCTCATACTTGTCATCATTCTTGTTATTGACCCAGTATGTGTCTACTCCTGCCACCACCGACAGCAGCTCCTTCTTCACTATGGCTCTGTTACCCAGGACGGAACTGAAGAAGCTCATGCTAGGTCCTGACACTTCACCTGTGGAAACAGTGGACCCAGGCCTGGGCAGGGCCATAGAGGCACAGAGTGTCCCTAATCAAGACAGCCTCACTGCAAATTGGGACAGAACTGGTTTCCAGAAAGTTTTGTCCTCCTCCCCTGGACAGCGTCCTCCCCCAGCGCTCATTCCCAGCTGGAGCAGTGCTGTAAGCAGCCCTCCACCCAGGGGTGGCTCAGGACGGCTGCAATATTTTCACTGCCTCCCTCTACCTGGGAAATCTTCATGTCCTGGGGCCTGACTTGGGCATGGACATTTACTCTATTATTAATTCCTTTCATATGGGAGATTCTGGAGTCCAGTGTTGAAGGAATCAGAACTAAAATGAGAAAGTGAAAATGATACCTTCAAATGTGCTCTTAAGAAACTCACTGGAACCATAGTTGAAATCAGTGGAAACTCTGTGAGTACATGGAGTGTTTGTGTAGTAGCAGACCAATACTCAGGGCATGTCTGCAGAAGGAATCAATCATATTTAATTGGGGGTATAACTTGTGGAAATTTCTATCAAATTGGTAAGAATGTGTTATACTTTTACCCTGGTTTAAAGCCCAGTCATTCAACCTAGCATCATGCCAATGCCAAGGTGCCAAAAATAATCATTGTATTCATAAATACACTTGGTGGTGGGTAATGAGATCTACCTGCAAACACGCACACTTTCTCTCTGTCTCTTTCACATTGGATTATTCATTATTTGTAGTAAAAAGATATACAAAGATTTCCAATCTAAGGGAGCTGTATGCTGCAGCCTGGGATATCTCTCACCCCCAATAACCACATATGACTTTTGAAATGCCAATCAAATTCTCACCTTGAGATCATTATGCATAAAATAGTCCTCCATAATTGAATTTTTCAAGAATTTCCAAAGCCGATCATGAAGAGAAACTGGGTATTATTTTTTTTTTTTAGCATGCTTCTTATTTAAGTGGAAATCTCTGAACTAGAAAACACCATGACCAATATTTCTACAAGGCCTGAAAAAGGTTCTAACAATGCATTAAATTCTCTTTTGTATAAAAAAACTTTAATTTTAGTTTTAAGTGGATACAATATCTTTATTTTACATTTATGTGTTGCTGAGGATCGAACCCAGTGCCTCATGCATGGTAGGAGAGCACTCTACCACTGAGCACAACCCCAGCCCATCACTAAATTCTCTTTAGGCAGCCTGACATAGAAGTTTAGCTTCAAACCTCCACAGGAAAAAGGTTTTCAATAGCCTAACTGCTCCACAGAAGGAACTGAAGTTCTTACTGTGGAAAATGCTGCTTCTAAGACAATGAAATTGGGGCAGTAACCCAGGCTCTGAAAGATCTAAAGGATGGATCCAGGTACTTCATGGGACCAAGAAGACCTGATCAGGAGACATGCCTCCCAAATCAACTGATTAAGTCTGGGCTCCTGGAGACCTGGCTTTGGAAGGTTCCCAAGCACCTAGTATTCTTCTTCACCAGTTGCACTAACAACATTCTGTACATGTGGTGTACTCTCAAGGGAGGTGAAGTTTGTTAGAAGACACACCCTTACAGATGACCTCTATGAGCACTAAGCCACCAAAACTTCATTCACATAACCCTGTGAAGGATCTGCTGAGTCCTCGTTTACCATCTACGAGGTCCCCTGAAGGACAAACATTTGGTGACCAAGAGTAATCTTGGGGATTTTTAAACAGATATGGAAATGAGGCCACAGACTGAATGTAGCCCCAAACCCCATAACTAGGCATGGTGTGGAGGCACCTTCCAGTATTCTCAGACACCCCGGAGACTGAGGCAGGAGGAGGCCATACTGTGGCCAGCTTAAGTAACTCAGTGAGAGTCTGACTCAAAATAAAATTTTAAAAGGGCTGGGGTATACCTCATGGTTAGAGCACCCTGGGATCAATCCCCAGGGCTTCAACCAAACAAACAAACCAACAAGAACAAAGGGCCCACCACATGCAGCCCTAACTGGACACTGTCCTGATTTCCCCAGAGCCAGCTCTAACCCAGACAGACCTCCCTCTCCTGCTGTGAGCAGGACCTTGCTGCTGTCCCAGGGGTTGGACACCAACCAGGGAGCACCCGCAGCAGCACAGCCTAAGGAGGGCAGGTTCCTAGTGGCCAGGCTCAGGGACAAATGCACTCCCTTAATGACGCTTTAACAGCTGAGTGTGAGCACTGCTGTGAGCTGAGCTCTTTGTCATTTTCTGTTCAAAGTCTCTGAGTTTGTGAGCTGCCGTAGGTGCCACAGAAGGTCTCAATGTCTCTCACTCGACTGACTTATGTGCACACAGGTGCATGTCCACACCAGCTCTACTAGTGACTTGAAGGACTGGACAGTGTTCCTCTGTGTGCAGGTGAGTGGAGTTTCCAGCATGTCAGCGTGTCCCTTAAAGCTATGGTGCTGGGACAGAGAGGGAGGAGGCCCCACACCTGGCCAGGCCCTGCACAGGCTCTCCCTGCCCTCCTTCATTTCTCTCCCTCACGGCCTGGGAGACAGGAATCCCTATCCCTGCTCTTCTGAGGTAGAGCTCAACTGACTGAGGTGAAGCCACAAGCTCAGGTCACACAGTCAGGAGGCAGAGGAGCAGGATTCCAGACTGGTCCTGGGGAGGTTGGAGGCCCACACCTGTCCATTGCACTCTGCAGCCAGGTATAAACTCTTGGAAGGATCAACTCCTTCTACTGTTGTTTGACCTTGCAGAACTCCACAGACACAGGGTACTGGACCTTTGGAGGGATGCTCATCAACTACAGGGATCAACTGGGATTGAACCTGCTCTAAAATGGAAATAGGTCAACAATTTCTCCCTGAACTCACTGATAATGAGGACTAGCAGAGATACAGCCAGAGAAAAAGAGTAAGTGCTGATTGAGAGACTGCTCTGCCAGGCAGTGTGAGGACCAACACATAATTGTGCCTGCGTTCTTACCCTTGTTCTCAGCCCTTGTGTTTAATAGAGAAACCATGCTTACTTGGTGAGCTCAGATGCACCACATAGCCCTTTCCCACATAGACTGCCCAGTGCTGATAGCCGAAGCGAAAAATTTCAATAAGGTCTCCAGGTTTTGCTCTTGTTCTCTCCTGCAACAGAAAAATCAGACACAGATAAAGGGGGCCTTTGTATGGCATGTTTTAAAATCTGATCTGCAAGAAGTCACAACCCAGTCCTACAGAATCCCTGTGCTCATGACCTGAGGAATCAGAGAGGAGAGACTGCTCCATACACAGGTGGGAAGCCTCTCCCCTCCATTTACCATGTGCATGCTAGCCTGGAAAGGTCTCGGGACAAGGAGGAGATGGGAAGGGGTGTCTCTGAGGGACCATGGCAGTAGGTCTGCAGCATAGGTGTGTGGGGCAGTGATGTGCACCAGCTGTAGAGAGCACATATTTTGCACAGAGAATGTTTGTATCAGCAAATTATGATATGATTCCCAAGAAGGTTCAAAATGTATCTTAAGGACCACCACCAGCCATGCTCCTGGGCTTCAGTGATACTTATGAGGTACAGAGTGCCCATGTTCAGAGCCCAATGTGCCAAACACTGCAGAACAGTTGACCCCACTCTCCATCATCCTAAGAAGTACCATCACCGTCTTCCACAGATGAGAAGACTGGGTCTTAGGATGGTTAGGTGACTTTCCTAGAGAGCAGAAGATCCAGAAGAAACTGAGTCTCAGGGTTTCCAACATTTATGCCTGAACAATCCCAGATAGTCCCAGACAAACTGGGGCAGCTGGAGCCCAGACTCCAGGCCAAAATTAAGAGAGAGAAAGACAGGATGTGTTTGGGAGTCAGAGGTGGAGGGGTTTTCTTTGAAGTTCACATGAATGAGTTGTACCTCTGGAGTACACTGAGGCAACCAGCTGCCCTCCCCAACTCAGCTGAGCCCGGCATCTGGCCCAGTGCACCCTGCCAGGGAGCTGAGCTGCTGCACAGAGAAGTGAGGGTGCAGCTGCCTGGAGGAGGTGGGAGATCTCCTGGGAGTTCAAGTCCTTGGCAGCAAGGATCAGGAGTCAGCTTGACCCAAGGGGGGCTGATTTTAGCATCAGAAGGGTAATACCTGCTGGCAGTGGTCAGGCATGCCTGTAGTCCCAGTGACTTGGGAGCCTATGGCAGGAAGATCACATGTTTGAAGCCAGCCTGGGCCACTAGGAGACCTGGCCTCATAATGAAGATTAAAAAGAGCTGGGAAGTAGCTCATTTATAGAGAGCACTTGCCTAGCTTGCACAAGGTCCTGGTTTCAATCCCTAGTACTGGAAAAAAAATCAGCATACATGTTACTGAAATATAACAGATTGGTTCTAGGAAACACGTTTAAGTAATGAGAAAGATTCAAGTATATCTAGATGAACTGTACTCAGGGAACCCAGTTAAAAACCACCATAAAACATAAAGCCATGGGGCTGGGGATGTGGCTCAAGTGGTAGCTATGCTTGCCTGGCATGCGCAGGGCGCTGGGTTCGATCCTCAGCACCACATAAAAATAAAAAAATAAAAGATGTTGTGTCCACTAAAAACTAAAAAAAAATATTAAAAAAAATTCTCTCTCTCTCTCTTTAAAAAAACAAAACAAAACATAAAGCTACAAGTCAGCACTTATAAGGTAGCTATATACATGTAAATAGAACCATCTGGCAGAGTGCACCCCAAGTTGCTTCAGGGGGAAAAGAGAACACAGGGAGTCTGGGAGAAGGGCTGATTCTTCATATTCAGGGCTTTGACTTTGATTTTGGTTTCTTTCTTTTTAAAAATTCTCTTTCAACATCCTTTTATGAGTGCATTATATTTGTACATAATGATGAGTGTTCTGTTGTCTATACACACCTGCATCAATATAGCAATATAATTTGCAGTGTCACTCCCTAACACCTCCCCCTCACTTCCCTCTTTCCACCCCATCCCTTTCCTCTATCGATGTCCCTTGGACTTTCTGCTTTTTGTTTCTTAAACAAGGCAAATACATCCACATATTACTGTGAATAAATTAGAAAACATAATTAAATTAAAAAACAGAACTAAATGCTTTGGAATATAAATGCCCTTCTATCATTTGAGAATTCCTCTGATCTCAAGTAGAAGATCATTGCCCATTTTCTTCTACTTCTTTTTATTTTATTTTTAGTCAGAGATGGACACAATACCTTTATTTTATTAATTTATTTTTATGTGGTGCTGGGGATGGAACCCAGTGCCTCACGTGTGCTAGGCATGCTCTCTACCACTGAGTCACAACCCCGTCCCAATTAGGTGTTTCCTGAAACCTGGTTTGGGTAAAGTAAAGCCTTCAGCGAGATGCCAGGAGGCAGCCAGCACTCAGGAGACCAAACCCTACACAGCAGCTGAGGCAGGGAAGCCTCTGGGCCCTTGGACCCAACCATGGTTCCTTTCCTGCTGTGTGAGATCCCCAGACCTGCAGCCCACCTGCCCCTCCTCTCCCCTGTCCCCTCTACACCTGAGCTGGAGCCAACAAGGACAATACACATATTTCTGATAATAGACTGTCACTGTTGCTTTGAAAATCAAAGGTTCAAAACCCTTTCTGGGGACTCACCAAAGACATGCTTCTGTCCAGAAATGCTGTGTGCTGCTGGCTGGATGTCCAGACTTCTTTTATTTAGCTTTTTGTCTTCCTGTAACTCCACCTACCCAAGCCTTCAGTTAGGTGAAAACAAAGGTCAAAGTTCACATTAAATTTTTATCTTCCAACCAGTGCAGGGCACACTTCCAGGAGATGATTAGACATGGAAATCAGTTGGAAGGGTGAGAGATTCAAGCCCAATGTGCATTCAGGAGGATTTGATGGCCCAGGGAACATTCCAATGTCCCCAAGTTTCAGAGAGAGAAGAGAGAAAGTGAAACAAGCAAATATGCTGATACTGGAAAAAATAATAACCACCCATGTCTTGGTGGGTGTGGGGAAGGCAGGAGGGAGGGGCATAGCCAGAGGGAAGAGTTTCAAGGAATGGGGCTCTGAGGACACAGACACACCTCCCAATGAGGAGCGAACATCTCCAGAACAGGCAAATATTTCCACCAATTTCCAAACAACCACACCACCTGGAACAGGCCACCAGAGGCATTTCCACACCCTGGGAACCCAGGGAGCCTGCGTGGCCAGAAGGATGGAAAGAAACCCTCCCCTTCCTCTCACCCCCAGGTCCGAAGCGCATTCATTGTAGCCCAACAGGAAACCCAAACCCCTACTCCCTGGTGTGAAGAGGCTGCTGCTTTGAGACACCAGTGTGCTACCCCACCCAAGCCCCTAATTAGTCTCTCTTCTGACACCAACTTCTTAACATCAAGGGGCAGGAGAGAGTGGGAGCAGCTCAGCACCCTCACTGTGGGGTTGTGGAGGAAGCAAGGACCAGCCGGATGCCCTCTTCTGGCTCTCAGGAAGACAGGGCTGTGGGTGAGCACACAGGGGGACTGGAACCACAGCTAGGAGACTCCAACTTAAGGGTCCACAGCGTCCCTGTAAACGTGCTATTCCACAGCCCATGCTGCTCCTGTGGACACAGGGCCTCTCTCAGCATCTCCATGCCAATGTCCTCGGGGATGCGTGGGACCCTCCTTATGGACTTTCCCAACCTTATTCTGGAGGGAGAGAGTGGGGGTAGGTTCAGCTGATTCCCTCAGGTCAGGGGAACGTTCAAAAATCCCCAAGTATCAGGGGGAAAGGAGAGAAAGTGAAACAAGCAAGGGCTGATACCAATGTCCAGAGCCTCATGGGCAGTCCCCACATCTTTGGGTGGATGACAGTGAACCAAGGGGTCTCATTTTGTGGATGAGTGCTAGCCACTTTTAACAATATCACAGCCCCATGTCCTGAGCAGTAGGCTGGGTGGGGGCACTGCTGGCCAAAGGGATGGCAGGTGAGGTGGGCACAGGGACAACTTGGGGTGTGCAGGGTGGTGGTGAATGCAAGTCCACAGTCCTTGTGCAGGACGGTTAGCTCTTCAGCTAATCCCATGTGATCAGTGCCAGAAACTCAGGCCCAGGAGCCACGTGAGAGGAGTCAGCAACCAAGGTGGGTCCAGCTGGAATGCTGCCTGTCCCCAGCTGGTGCTTACAGCCGCTGAGCTGGCCAGGGGGCCAGTGTGTTCCTCCTGGGCAGAGAATGGGGCAGAATCAGAACCCAGGCCCAGCCTGGTGGGAACACTGGGCACCGCATCAAGGAGCTGCAGACCCAGCACTTTGTAGTTTTCATTATTTTGAGATACGTTCCTGCTAAATTGCCAAGGCTGGCCTCAAACTTGAGATCCTCTTCCCTTAGCCTCCTGAGTTGCTGGAATGACTCCTGTATGCTACTGTGTGCAGCTGTGCTAGCCTGGACTAGGAAAGCCTGTACAAAAATTCTACTATTATATGAAAGAGATTTTCCATGAGAGACAATGGGTTCTTTTCAAGGCACATCTATCTTTCTATGTCCATGAGGCTTGAGTACGGGTCTTGGGCTGGGGAGGGGAGGCACTGAGAGTGGCCTGTGAAGGGAGACAGGTCCCTGCTGTAGAAGGCGTGTATCTGGGCCTTGGGGGCTGGGCTCACACTCCGTCCACACTCAGCCTGCATTCTGGGCTTCTAGGTGTTGAGCTTCTTCCTTGCCTGCCTCTCTGTGAGGAGAGTTTGGGTCTCTCCAAGCCTCAGAGAACACCCCTGTCCCTCTTCTTCCTTCCATAGTCTTTTCCTCCTAGTTCAAGATGATTCTTGCCTCACCCTTTTGATCTACAAAGTGTTTAGTCTCAGAAACCATGACTTTCTGTTAGAGAAGTTCTAAGCAGGGTTGAGTTCAGCCCTATCATGGGAATTAGAAAAGGAAGAAGTTCTTATAATTATAAGAAATGGAACAGTTCCTGGAGGGCATGTTTTATAATTTTGAAAAGGGAGGTTGTGGGGGTTGTGTTCCCCTGTCCCCAGAAAAACTCCTGCCCTGTGTCCTCATGGAGGCATAGGCTCAACCTCAGAGCTCAGATCCTTTCTGTTCACAGTGCCCTGGCCATGACCTTGGGTGATGGAAGATGAAAGAGAAAATATCTCCTGCTGTCTCAGCCTTGCTGGGGCTTGATAGACAGGCTGACTCAGGCTGGGGGGTAGCAGGTGTTGGACAGGAGGCCTGGCTCTGCTCCAGTCCAAATCAGGCCCCGAGATGGATCTTGGAGATGCAGGGAGGGAGGCCAAGCCCTCTGAATGTTTTCTCCTTGATGCTGGAAGAAGCTCATACAGGCACAGGGAATTGTGGCCCATCCTGTTCCTTGCACAATGGGTTCCAGGGTCTAGGTCCCAGAGAGGTGCAGTTGAGCTAGAAGGGCAGTGAGGGCAGCCTGGTGGTAAGGTGTGTGGATGGGAATGGGAAGAGGGGGAGTGGGCATGGGGAGGGGGTTGGGGAAGGGAGACCCAGGAGTGCAGAAGAGCAGAGGCCAGAGGGAGCACTAGGTGAGTGGAATTCGAGGCCCTGGGTGGACCTGGGGGCATAGCTCAGGGAGGGGAGGGAGGGGAGTAAGTGTTGGTGAGGAAGGGCATGTGTGTCTCAGGGACTGGGTATGGGGCAGCAGGGACAGGAGGTGGGGAAGCAGGCAGGAGGCTATGGGGGTCGTGGAAGCAGGAAGGGAACTGCCCTGAATTAAGTTAGTAGACAGGAGATGGAGAAGGAAAGGAATTCCTATCTTCATCCCAGTGCCAGGGAAGACAAAGATAAAACCAATCTACAGCTTCTGCAATAGCCATCACTGAACTGCTTGCAGAACTTGCCTGGACTATGTATCACTTGTATGCATTGTGAACTCACGTGTATGCATTGTGAACTATCTGTTGGTGCAGCGACTTGTGGTAGTGTTGGGGTACTTTTGCTGATGGTGTCATCGGTGGTACAATTTTTCCAAAAGGAGCCGAGAATTGGCTTGGTGTATCTTCCTCCCTTCTGCTTGTGATGGTCGTTCAGCTAAAATTTGGGGGCCAACAGAGGTGAGGCAAAGAACCTCACCCACCGCTGGTACAAAGACCTATCCTGTATGGCTGTATGCTGTACCAGTAGTCAATGATGGGTAAGATCCAATTGCAATGGTACCAACCTAAGACAGGAGGCTGTCTTAGTGGACCCAATAGTTTTAATGCACAGTGGAGCCAAACATGGGAGCAATGAACAGGTTAACAGCAGAATACTCACTACACCAGTTAAGCTTTTAAATCTACCAAGAATTGAAAACCATCTCCCAAAATCATGTTTGGGACCTAAACTTTAATGCCCTTCTAGGTATAAACTAGCACATGTGCTAATTCTCTTGTGTTGCTGGCTATATTCTTAACTGTTTGTCTTTGTTATCCATTTGGATGCAACAATCTGAGCTTTTGAACTCTCCACATATTTCTTTTTCCTCAGCCAGTAGGTTATCTAATGCCAAGCGATTTTGATAATTAGCCACTCACATCTGGTCTGTTGTGTGGCTAGGAGGTCAAAGGCTGTGGCAGTCTGATTAACAATAATTTCTAGTACAGCTTGTAAGTGAATAATTCTATTTAACATGTAAATAGGAGATCTATAGCTCCAATTGTCATTTTGTGCCCACGTAGCTGGAGCATAAGTGGCAATAATCCTCTGGGGATGCCAGTTACCTTCACCCCAAGATTGGTGACCTCCTAAAGCAAGTTTCTTTCCAATGGACCTCTTTTTCCTTTCCAAACAGCCATTCATCTATAGCATTCCTCTGGTGGGACAGGTCCTAAATATATGTTTTACCACCTCTTGGTTATAGTGGATTGTCTTGACACATGGTTCACATGATGTCCATGGTTGGAATAGGAGTAGGGCAGAATCCCTTAAGGTTATCAAAGGAAACCAAATTAAATAATAGACTAACATTTTGGTTAACATAGGTTAAACAGCATGAATTAACAAAGCCAAACTAATAACACCAAACAAATTCTAGAAAATTTATATAAGCAAGATGAAAAAGTGTAAGTGAAATTTTGTTACCCAGAGTCCAGTGAGTAGATGTTACTGTTATCAAACCAGTAGCAAAAACCAAACAGAGAATTATGTATATATCTAGAAGCAAGGGGTGGCAATACATTATAGTATAAGAACTATCTTAGAAGTTAAAAGAGTTCATTAGGCCTGTGGGAAGTTTATCTTTCACTGTGCATTGATCGGCCAGCCAGTCCTTCCTGTATGGCTGAAACAGGGCTGTAACCTCCTCAAGCTTTGGCTGTGCATAGACCAGTCAGCTTCTGCTGAGAGCCATAGCCAAGTAGGAATGACGCATGGCAATTTCTTTGTCAGCCTACCCAATGTTGCTTAGAGGGAGGACTCTCCATTGTGAAAATGGCTTTGCCTTGGACCCAGGTCATTTGCAGTGACATTGCATGAATGTTTGAGAAAGGTGACCCTGCTCAAGGACCAGGGTGGATCCGGGTTTAGGGAGGATCCTGCTGGATTAGGGTGGGTCCAGGTTTAGGGTGTATCCTTCTGGGAATAGGGAGTATCCTGCTGCCTCAAGCACCCACTCCTTGGGTTTAGGGCAGTTCCAGGTTTAAGGTGGACCCTGTTGGGAATAGGGCGTATCCTGCTGCCTCAGGATACCTAGTAAGAATAGTGTTAGGAGAATAAGATAAATGTATCCACAATAATGGACCTTCTTGCCAAAATACTCCTGTAGGAATATTTCTGCTGGGAATAGGGTGTATTTCTGCCTCAGGCACCCGCCCGCTCCTTGAGTTCCAATTGAGTTCTCACAGGATTCAGAGAGT